AGGTCCACCTCCACTACACAGCCTTCGCTCTGGACTCCTGTCATGGCAAAAATACCTAATCACATATCCGTTTTAAACAGTTTTCTCCCTCATCTGTTTCAATGCAGTATACGTTATTTATCCCATCTTTTTCAGTCTCCCCCCAACCCCATTGTCAGTCCTGTTTTACAACAGTGGCACCACTTTAAAGACTCAGCATAATGTCCTCCAGGGTCACCCACTTTGAATAATATTGAATGAGTTCCTTGTTTTTCAATGCAACAAAGCTGCGATAAACGTGGGTGTGCATATATCTGCTTGGGTGTCTCTAGATGCATTTTTAAATGTATGTTTCTCACTTAGGATAGACATGTCAGTCAAAGATGGAGCCACAGTTTACTACTGCTAAAACAAATATGGATATCATTAACTCAGTCCTTGAACATGACTTCATTTACTCTTATATGGAGTTTCTGTGTAAGCTTCTAATATCAAGTCTCCAGAGCTAAAAGAAAATAGAGTTCAAGCAGTAGGATCAGATAATTTATGCCCAGATAAGTTTTAAGATTCTTGCCTTACACCACTACTTTCCTTTATTTAACATTAGAAATCTCAGCCTGGAAAGATAAGATGAATATTGCTTACTTGTCCCAAGATACCAAAGCCTGCCACTCTGTATGGGATACACTCTGCTGAGGAAGACCTACTGTATAAAGTGAAAAAACAAACTGATGTTAAACTTTGCACAGATAACGTTCCACAGTCCCAATCTCAGCCACATCTAGATATTTCTTAAATTTTCCAAATTTGCCAACAATTTTAATATTGCTGTGCAGGCTTACTACTCACCTGACCACTTGGCTGCTATGCTGAGAACTAGGTCGTGGAGTAACTGAAAGAGAATAAACTGCAGAATGAAGGGCTGCCAGCACTCTGCCTTACCTGGTCAGTGGTTGGCATGCCTTTGTGAGTGAATATCTCAGTGGATGACGTTTACAAAAGAGGATGCAAAAGATTATGAAAATCACTTTGTCATAGAAGACTCTTCCATTATTGAGAAAGGATATTTATTAATCCAATAGAAATATTTGAGCCATGAAAATTATTCTCTACCTGTCTGTGATGGTGAGGTGATGCCTACTGGGCGAGGTGTAGCTGATCTGCAAGAAAGAAAGTTGTTAAGTGCCATCAAGTTGAGCATGACTCATAGCAACCCTATGAACAGAAGATCTGAACCCTGTTCTGTCCTGTGCCATCCTCACACTTCCTGACATACAAGAGCGCATTCCAGCAGTCACCTTGTAAATTCACCTGGTTGAGGGTCTTCCTCTCCTTCACGGACCCTCCACCCTTCCCAACATTGTCTCTCTCTCCAAGAAATAGCACCTCCTAGCAGTATGTCCAAAGTATGGCAGGTGAAGCCTCATCATTCTTGCCTCCAAAGAGCACTTGGGCAGAACCCTCTCCAAGACATATCTGTTCTCTTGACCATCCATGGGGATGTTCAGTGCTCTTCTTCAGTACCACAGCTCAAAGGTGTCAATTGTTTTCCTGTCATCCTTATTCATTGTCCAGCTCTCAGATGCACAGCTAGTAACTGGAAACACTATGGTCTGAATCAGAAGACCTTTGTCTTCAAATTGACATCATTACTCCTCAGTAATTTGGAAAGGTCCCTAACTGCAGATTTTCCTAGTGCAATACATCTTTTTATTTTTTGACTGCTGGTACCAAGAGTATTAATTATGGGTCCGGGCAAGATGAAGTTGTTGATAGTTCCAATCTCCTCTCCATCTATCATGACACTGCCTATTGGTCCAGTGGTAAAAATCTTTGTTTTACTAACATTGAAATGCAATCCATACTGAAGGATGCATTCCTTAATCTTCTGCAACAAGTGCTTAAAAATTCTCTTCACTTTCAGCAAACAAGGTTGTGTCATGTGTATAACGCAGGTAGTTGATGAGTCTCCCTCCAATCCTGATGCCACACTCCTTCTCATAGAGTCCAGTTTCTGGGATAATTTGCATAGCATACAGATTGCATAGGTATGGAAAGAGACTACAGCCCTGCACTCCCTTCCCAATCCCAAACTATGCAGTGTTCCCCTGCTCTGTTGGTACAACAGACTCCTGATCCAGATATACGTTCCCCATGAGCACAATCAGGTGCTCTGGGATTCCCCTTCTTCTCAGTGTCAACCACAACTTGTCATGATCCACACAGTCGAACACCTTTGCAGAGTCAATAAAGAACAAACAGACATTCTTCTGGTATTCCTTACTTTCAGCCAGGATCCAACTGACATCAGCAATTATATCCTTGGTGTCATGGCATCTTCTAAGTCATGCTTGAAGTTTTGGAAGTTCTTTATCTATGTACTGTTCCAGACATTTTTGAACGGTCTTCAGCAGTATCTTGTTTGCAAGAAAGAAAGAGGCAGCTCTTATCCCATTATGCAGAGTTAAATGTCCTCTCAGAGGATCAATGAGACCATGTATAGAAAGTTTCCTATCTAATCATATGTCTCTTACTTGCACATATTACAGGTATCACTCCATAATATAGAGGCCAAGTTCCCATACGAGATCTCTTTGCTCTTCAGCTATCTGAGTGAGAACTATTGACCAATTTTGTATTTCTTTCTCATCTCGCTTGGTGCCTTATATAAATTACTTTCATCTTTACTTATATCCATGCATTCATATATCCACCACTCCCTACTCTCTCAATCCTCTTAACAGCTATTTAGTGCCAACAGTGTCCTAGACCCTGAAATTGCAAAGATAATGAAAATAATGTTCTATCATTGAAAGGCTTATAGGCTGATTGGGAGGAAAAACCCAAAATGTAATCTGAGTAATGCTAAAGTTCTACAATATGTATATCAGTGTACAGAAATAGTAAAGACTATTATAGTAAATATTGTGAAAGAAAGGGTTATGTCTTTTTATTCCCCAACACAAGATTGATATTAAAAATATATTTAACAAATGGTAGGGCACAGGCATCAATCAATTAGAAAGAAGAGTTGATGTACACTTAGCATCTAATATGGTAGCTCATAAACAGGAAGTACTTAATTCATGAAAGAAGCACCTGAACCAAAACCAGCTGCTGCCATTTCTAAGTCATGGCAACTCCATGTGTGCAGAGCAGAACCTTATAGAGTTTTCAAGGCTATGACATTTTGGAAGCAGTTTGCCAAGCCTTTCTTCCAAGGCATTTCTGGTGGATTCTAAGTGCTACCCTTTCAGTTAGTAGTTGAATGCTTAACCATTTGGACTACCCAGGGACTCTCAGAGAATACTTAACTCTAATTAAGTAACAAACAGATATGCTCCTTGGAAGCCAAGATGGAGAAGCATTGTCTCACATGCTTTGGACATGTTGCTAGGAGAGGCTATTCCTTGAAGATGGAGCATTAGTGAAGAAGGGGAAGATGGATTGACACAGTGACTGCAGCAATGGCCTCAAGTGTGTCAGAGGTGATGAGGATGGGACAGGGCTCAGATATGTTGTTCATAGGGTTGCTTTGAGCCATACACTACTTGACAGTGTATAACAACAAGAAGTATGTCTTCACAGGAGATGTTCACATGAGACTTGGATTTTAAAGGACGAATAGGATTTCAAAAGGGGAAGGGTGGGTCAAGGGTAAGTATCTTGTCTCAGAGAAATGACAGAAAAATTCATCAGTCATTTTTGCCATCTAGGAGCCCACACAGAAGTTACAGCCAAAAGTCAAATAGAAATTTTCTGTTAGTACAGGACCTAATAAAACTGACCTGCTTCCTTGGTACCGACTTGGAGATTCCTGTGAGAAAAGGGAAGTGAAGGAAGCTGTGAGTAAAGGATCCTAATAATTGGCTCTCAGAACCTTACTTGGAAGAAAACTAAGCTTCAATGCTCCCTTGGGGCTACACAGATTCCCCACTAAGGGAAAAAAAAAAATAGAAGTGTTCCCTTAGTAAATTATTAGCTTCGGGATGGGACGGCAAAGATTTTACTTCCTCTTCTTAATAACACATTAAAAATTCCTGTAGGCTTATATATGTGGGCAGTATGGAGAGTCTTAGGCGAGTTGAAGAGGAAGAAAGAAGACTAGAATAGTTACAAGAATGAGATCAATAGGGAAATTATACACAGAACATTCTTAGAATGACAGGAAATGCCGAGGAAACAGAGGAAAGGTCCTGAGCTATCTTGGAGTTGTTAAGTGCCATCAAATCAAACACAACTAAAAGTGACCCTATGAACAAAAGACCTGAACCCTGTTCTATAATACTTGTTGTTTCTCTATGTTTATAGAGTTTCCAGAGACATGTTGTTTAGGAAGTGGGTGCCATTCCTGCTTCCAAGCCTGTCTCAATTTGGGAGCTCCACCAAAACACTGTCCACTATAAGTTAACCATTATGGCATTATTAAAGATAATTTTAAATTGCAACAGATTTTTTTTTCTGTAAGAGAGCTTTCCAACTGGCATATTATATGACTCACTGGTGCTCAAGAAGGGGTTACACTAAAATATTGAGCTGTGGTGGCCTAGTCCTTAGGGAGTTGTAATGCTGACCCATACTACTCTGGTGATTCAAATCCATCAGCTGCTCCGAAGGAGAGCAATGGGCAATCTCTCGTGCAATTTACTGTCTTGGAAACATACTAGAGAGTTGAATATGGATTGGTTTTAACACAACAATAATGACTTAAAATAGATGTGTGTGCCATGTGAAAAGGACTTGGGGACACAGGAAGTTGACAGGACATAGGCAGCAACCAGTTAGAAAAGACGGTGGTGTCAGCCATGTAGATAAGGAAGGTAGAAGAGAAAATGATAGTGAGGCAAAAGCAATTTCATTCACCTTTAGGATGGCCAGAAACGTTTTCAGTTCTCCATTCTCCTTCCTTAAAACAGTTAGTTCTCTAGGCAAAAGATGAAAACAGCACCAAGAGGTCAGTGGAGTTAAAAAAAAATGTATTTCAGGCAGTCTTCAGATCACAATCCAATTTCATCCCTAAATTTGTTTTTAAATTCAATTTGTACATAAGAACAGTTAAGCACAGTTTATATATAACAGGGGTTAAATGTTCGTTTTAGTACAAAACATACACCTACTCTCCTCACTCATCAGTTATCATTATCTGACATTTCACATTTAAAACAAGAATAAAATAAATTTACTATTCTGCACATTAATAGCATAAATCTAATGATAAATGCCAAGGCATAAACAAGAGTAACATTATCTATGGTGACTAATGTGCTGGGTCCATTTGGCTGGGTAACCATTCTCAGTACTTTGGAAATTATGTAATTTGGCATTTATTTAAGGATATTTTTATCTTCAATTTTTGCATAATGACCTTATCTTTAGAACTTAACCAACTCAATAAATGAAGTTATGTGGTATAGAGGCAGAAGTGACTCCTAGCTGACCCCCCAGTAAGTTTTCAAAGGCTGGCAATCAGCTGGGAGGAGACTGCCATCTTTCTCCCATGGAGCAGATGGTGGATCCAAACCACCTGCCTCTGGGTTGGCAGTTCAGCTCTTTACTGACTCAGGTCAACAGAGCTCCCTAAAAAGTGAGGAGAAAGTGTAGGGAGCACATTTTCTAAGTATAAACTCATGAAACACTTCTAGATATGCTAAAACATCTTTAATGTAATGATGATAATGTTTTGATATGCATTGCAAAGGTGCACTTCTTTGTTATTACAAAACATTGCATGTACCTCAGATTTTTAATATAATGGGCTTTATGCAGGTTGGTTCCTAACTTCAGATTGTACATAATCTGTTCAATAACCTAAGGACCTGTATTAGTACTTTGTAATGCTTCTGAGAGATCTTATCTCTGTGTTTAGTGTATCTATCAGAGATCTGCAGAGCGTCAAGGACTGCAGCCTTCAGTATGGATTGAGGCTCAATATCAAGAAGACAAAGATTCTCACCACTGGACCAATTGGCAGCATCAGGATGGATGGTGAAGATTGAGATTGTTAACAACTTTAGTCTGCTTGGCTCCATGGTCAACACTCTTGGCACCAGAAGCAAGGAAATAAAAAAAGTATTGAGATGGGAAAGTCTGCTGTTAGGGACCTCTCCGGGGTAATGAAGAGCAATGGTGTCACTCTGGAGACTAAGGTGTGTCTGATACAGGCTATGATCTTTGCAATCACTTGTTATGCATCAGAGAGTTGGACAATGACTAGGAAGGATAGACGGAGAATTGATGCCTTTGGTGCTGGAGAGGAGTACTGAATGAACCATGGAGTGCCAAGAAAACAAAGATATTCATCCTGGAGAAGGTTAAACCAGGCTGCTCCTTGGAGGCAAGGATTCTGGGGCTTCATCTGACATACTTTGGACATGTTGTAAGGAGGGACAGGTCCTTGGAGAGGGATATCATGCTTGAGAGGGTGGAGGGATGGCGCAAGAGGGGAAGACCCTCTATGAGGTGGATTGATTCGGTGACTGAGGTAATTGGGATGGCTGTGTCAGAGACAGTGCGATTGGCACAGGATAGAGCAGGGTTTAGGGCTGTTGTACATAGAGTCACTATGAGTCGCAAGTGACTTGACGGCACATAACAACAACAACATCAGAGATCTGGTGATGCAGGGTTATAACAGCAGGGGCTTGATGGGAAAAGGCAATCATATAATACAATTTTAAGGAAGCTTGCATGGAATCCCATTTCCTCTTCTGCTTATGGAAGGCCATAAAACTTCCATCAAGGATTCCATCATTTAGCTTAAGACTTTAAAATTTTTTCCTCTTGAAGGTAACATTTATGTGTTCTTTCTAATTTAATTTCTTAAATGTTAGTAAGCTATATCTGATCTCCTGGAATAAGAGGTTTTGATGAGGGAGGTAGATAGTGAGAGCTATAGAAAGGTGGGCCCCAAAGGGAAGAATGAAAGAAAAAAAAATTAAGAGAACCAAAAAGTATTTCCCTGATTTTCTAAAGATATATACAAACACACCTGGGGCAATTTTGCAGCCATAAGGAAATAACGTTTACATCTTCTCTAGAAGTAAATTCTGGTAAGTCAATTTTTCACTTACTTGTCTTGACTGGCTACTCTTTGCTGGGCCTCCTGAATGTCTGCTTCTAATTTTGTAATTCTATGCTTATAGAAGGCGAGGAGGAGATCTGTTTGTTTCTTCTGGAAACTCCACACCTACTAGGGAAAAATAGGCCTTTGACAAACACCCACTTAACTCCTTTCCTCTCACTTCTGACAACAAAGGGAAATCTGTCAATTCATACTTTAACTCTACTCATTCTCACAACCCCCCCAACATCTGCTTTCATTCACAATTTCACCAAACCAGAGAGTTAGCATTAGGAAAAGCCAAAGATAATCTTTCCTACGATAGTGATATTCTAATACTTAGTAAGAACTGTTCTGACACAGAACAATTCTTTAAAAAGATAATTTTTCATTTTGAGGAAAAACTGGAACCCAGAAAACCGTTTTTCAAGCTCAGAACTTGTTTTGATCTAACTTATGTACTATTAGACTGTACTCAGCTTCTCAATTCCTAACTATTACAGAGTGCTAGTAACCAATTTTTCCTACACCACCTACTCAGAGTCACTTGCAGCCTGTCTGTGCTGCTATATATAGTAAAGGGTGAAGAGGCACTGAAGGGAATTATATATTCCTGAATTTTACTTCTGAGTATGGATAAATAATCTTATCTTTTGCCTCACTTTATCATTTGATATAATGTACTTGTCACCGGTAGCGGAAATGGGTCAAAAGTTAATATTTAGAGAGCGTTTTAGCTTTGTCAGGCTCTGATTTTGAGTACACAGCAGTATTTATGTCTCATCTGCTTTCTTCCTCCCTACCCAGACTATAAACTTTTCATCTAAAGTAGTTTTCTAAATCTTGGTATTCATCTCGTAAACTTTGTTTTCACCTAATTTTCAAGTTGCATTTGCTATCTTACAGCAAAATAGTACTTAAGAGTTTACATAGTCTTTAGCTTTCCTTCCTACTCAAAGGAAAACCATTTTTAAATAGATAAGACTTTATTTTCTATGAAACTGACTCTCTCACTTCACAAAATTTTAGCTATATCACAAGGAACCATAGAGTAGATGACAGGAAATTTTTCTATATAGAAGCATTCTAACTAAAAGATGAGAAAGGAATACAGAATTAGAATATTATTACCATTTTGCAATTCCTCATTCACCAGTTGCTCTGCAGGAGAAAGATGGACAGTCTCTTCCCATGCAATTTACTGTCTCTGAAAACCCTTTGGACAGTCAGCTATGACTTGATTCCAACTGAACGGCACACAACAACATCAACAAATGAATTCAGAAGGACTCTGGTGGCATAGTGTGTTATGGATTGGGCTGTCAACAGATATATTGTTGTTGTTGTTGTTGTTGTTGTTGTTGTTGTTATTGTTGTTAAATGCCGTTGAGTTGTAGACGACTCTTAGTGACCCTATGAACAAAGACCTGAACACATGTATAACTTTCATCTTTTCTCCAGGTTCATAGGGTTTCCAGAGGCAAGCTATTTTGGAAGTGGATGACACTCCAGCTTCCAAGCTTGTTTAATCAGGGAGCTCCACCAAACACTGTCCACTGTGGGTAACCTTTGTTGCATTTGTCACATCAGAGTCACAGTGTTCAGCATCACAGCAACCATGAATTACCTCTGTACAGCAAATGGACAGATGAGGGCTATGTTACAAGGAAGAATGTTTGACCAAAAACAATTAAAACCAGGTCCGAGGTTTTAATAAATGAGGTTTGAAAACGAATTTTCAAAGGTTGCAGGTCCACCCATGCTTCAGGTTCTCATTGGCTCCCAGCAAAAGGCATCCAGCCAGCCCAATAGGACCCAGAGATTTTCCATACCAACAGAGAAAGAATGCACACGAATTTTCAAAGGCTGCAGGTCTGCCCATATGTTACTGGCTCAAATTTACCAGTTGCTCTGTAGGAGAAAGGCAGTATCCTGTAAAGAGTTACAACCTTGGAAACTAGCTGGAGTCTCCACAGATGGAAATAGACTGGATGGCAGTGGGGTTTGGGGGTTAATAAATTAAGAGATCAAAGAAAAGTAGGGATTATACCTCAATACAAAGAAAATAAAAATTCTTACTACTAGACTAAAAGATAACAGCATGATAAGTGGAGAAAATATTAAAGTTGTCAAGGATTTCATTTTACTATGATCCACAATCAAAACCCTTGGAAGCAACAGTCAGGAAATCAAATGATGGTTTAAATTGGGCAGATCTACTGTCAAGGACATCTTAAAATTGTTTAAGAGCAAGGACATCTCTTTAAAGACTAAGGTGCACCTGACCCAAACCACAGTGTTGTTGTTTTTTTCAAACCACAGTATTTTTAATTGCTATATATGCATGTGAAAGTTGGACACTGAAAGAGAAGGAAATAAAAGGCATCCAGATTGGCAAAGAAAAGGTTAAGCTATCACTATATGCCAATGATATGACAGTGTACACAGAAAACCCCAACGACTCAACAAAAAACTGTTAGAGCTGATAGACCAATTTAGTAGAGTGACAGGATATAAGATCAATATCCAAATATCAGTGGGATTCCTCTACAGTAACAAAGAGAGCTCAGAGAAAAAAACAAACAAACATGAAAGTAACACTATTTAAAATAGCCAATCACAAATTGAGATCCTTGAGAGTGAACCTAACTAGAGACACAAAAAAACCTATACAAAGAAAACTATAGACCATTTCTGCAAGACACAATAAAAGATCTAAAGAAAAGAAAAAATGTTCCCTGTTCATGGATAAGAATACACAATATTGTGAAAATGGCAATCCTACCAAAAGCAATCTACATGTTCAGCGCAATACCAATACAGCTACCAAATTAGTTTTTCAAGGAGATCAAAAGGGAAATTGTCAAGTTTATCTGGAGAGGAAAGAGACCCCAAATAAACAAAGCATGTCGGAAAAACAAAAATGAAGTGGGAGGATCTGAAGACCTACTATGCAGCATTAGTAACCAAAACAGCATGGCTCTGGTACAATGAAAGGCACATAGGCCAACAGAACAGACTTGAGAACCCAGAAATGGACCCAGCTATCCATGGTCAACTGATATTCAAGAAGGAAATAAAACTTATCAAATGAGGAAATGACAACCTCTACAGCAAATGGTGCTGGTAAAACTGGACTGCTAACTGCAGAAAGTTGAAACAGGATCCACATCTCACACCATACACAAAAATCATCTCAAGGTAGATCAAAGACCTGGGAGTAAAGCCCAAAACCATAAAGTTCATCAGAGATAAACGGGGATCAAGCTTATACAGCCTAGTCTATGGTATAAAGAGAATGCCAAATACAGTCAGAAATACACAGTCTGGAGAGGATAAAAATGATGAATGGCACCTCTGTATACGTCAGAAACATTTTCCAACAGAGTGAAAAGAAAACCTACTGATTGTGGAAAAACATTTGGCAACATTATTTCAGACAAGGATATCATAGAAAAAGTCTACAGAATTCTATAGGGCCTCCACAAGAAAAAGACTGATCACAAAATGGGCAAAAGACATAAAAATACTTTTCATAAAGGAAGATATCTGGATGGCAAACAGACACATGAAGAAATGTTCAAAATCACTGACAATAAGGGAGATGCAAATCAAAACCATAATGAGATACCATCGTACTCCAGTAGCAGTGGCAAAATTTAACAGGACAGCAAGTAATAAATGTTGGAGAGGATGTGGTGAAATAGGAACTCTTACACATTGTTGATGGGATTATAAAATTGTACAACCACTCTGGAAGGAAGGCTGGTGTTTCCTCAAAAAGCTGAACATAGAAATTCCATATGACCTAGCTATTCCAGTGCTTGGAATATATCCTGAGAAAATGAGAAGGGAGGCCCAAACGGAGATTTGTACACCAATGTTTATAGCAGCATTATTAACCATCGCAAGAACATGGAAACAGCCCAAACGTCCAACCACAATCAAATGGATTGAGAAATTATGGTACATACACATGATGGAATACTACTCAGCATGCAGGGGCAATGGATTTGTAAATTATTAGCTAACTAACTTGGGAGGGACTGCAGAGCGTTATGCTAAGTGTACTAACTCAGTCCCATAAAGACAAATACTGTATAAAGACCATTAGTGTAGAAATAGATATATATGCGTATCTAAGTGGGAGAGGGGGAGCACAGGGGTGAGGATGGGTGGGAGGTCATAATTATATGGTTGCACAATTTTTTAGGTAAAGGGAGGGTTAGGGTTAAGTGAATGGGAAAGATCTGGTGTGAAAAACAATGTATATGGAATTTGTAAGTAAATGAGAAAAAAAGAAAAAGTTTAATAAAAAGAAGAAAGTCAGACTTGATGCTTTGAAATTTAGTGCTGGTGAAGAATATTGCATTTTACATGAAGAGTCAAAAGAACAAACAAATCTGCCTTAGAATATTGCTCTTTAGAGGTAATGATAGACTTTGTCTCCATATACTGGACATTTTATCAGGATGGGCTGGTCCTTTGGAAAATTATCTCATGCTTGGAAAAGTAGAGCATTGGTGAAGGAGAGGAAGACCCTCAATGTGATGGATTGACACAGTGACTAAGGCAACAGGCTCAGCAGAGGAGAGATTGTAAGAACAGCACAGGATCAGGCAGTTTTTCGTTCTGTCAGAGCTAACTCAATGGCACCTAACAACATGAAAAGCTCATCAACCAGTAGCTCGAGATGAAACACAGTGACACTGCCTATAAAAAAAAAACACCTCAAAAAAGGTGAAGCGGGTGGGTGGCGGTGAGAGCTACATGGGCACAGATGGGGATGTGAAGCTGGAACTGGAGACTGAGACCAGCAGCCCCAAGTGACCTCCCGAGAAGCCACAGAAGCATGATAGTGGTGCGGCAGACATGGAGAGAGTCACCAACTATGGGAAGATATGGAGATTCAGAGTTCCAATCTAGAGACGGCCATGTCCATGATTGGAGACCTGGGGGGGGAGAGGGCAGAAAGCCAAACAGGAGCGGGAGAAGGAATTGGGAAAAGTCACCATCAAGAAATCCAAAGTTTCTGTAAACTTTCATTAAAATTAATAAAAAAAAATAAATAAAAAGAAGGAAGATCTGCCACCAGAAGCTCCGCTGGAGAAGGAGAGGGGCAGCCT